GTCCCCGCGGTGCCACCGGATTCCTGCCTCCCCCGGCGCGGTGCCCGGGCAAGAATCAGGGAGTGGGGAAGGAAAAAATCACCCCGGGAGCTATTTTTAACCGCGCCCTCCCCTCCCCTGCAGTTGCTCCGAGGCAGCGCCGCCGCTCCGGGCCACGGGGGGGGCAGAAGGTCCCCTTGTCACCTCGCTGCCACCCCACTGTCACCCCGGGGCGCTGGGCAGCCCGGCCGTGGGGTGTCCCTGCCCTGGGAGGTGTCCTTTTTGGGATCTCCCTGTCCCTTTTGGCGTTTCCCTGATCGTTTTGGGATCTCCCTGTCCCTTTTGGGGTGTCCCTGTCCTTTTTGGGATCTCCCTGTCCCTTTTGGGGTGTCCCTGTCCTTTTAGGATCTCCCTGTCTCTTTTGGCGTTTCCCTGACCGTTTTGGGATCTCCCTGTCCCTTTTGGGGTGTCCCTGTCCTTTTAGGATCTCCCTGTCCCTTTTGGGGTGTCCCTGTCCTTTTAGGATCTCCCTGTCCCTTTTGGGGTGCTCCTGTTTGCTGTCCCCACCCGAGGGTCCTGTCCCAGCGGGTGGCATCTGCAGCTCGTGGTGTCCTGCTGCCTGTCACGTCCCGGAGCAGGGACACTGGTGCCCGTGGCTCAAGGACACACGGTGAGTGTGGCCCTGGCATGTCCCCATCCCTGCCTTGGGACAATGGGGACAGTCAGGATTGGCTTGGACATGCAGCCACCAGCCAGGGCGTGCCCCTGGGGACAGGGACAGGGGACAGGGACAGGGACAAGGAACAGGGACAGGGACAAGGGACAAGGGACAGGGACAAGGGACAGGGACAAGGAACAGGGGACAGGGACAGGGGACAGGGACAAGGGACAGGGGCAAGGAACAGGGGACAAGGGACAGGGACAGGGGACAGGGACAGGGGACAGGGACAGGGGACAGGGACAGGAGCCTTCCCGGGATGCAGGGATCCATCCCTGGGGATGCTCGGGCAGGGGGAAGATGGATCCGGGCCCAGCGGTGCTTCATTAAATATTTACTGTCCCCAGCCCGCGGTGGCCTCACCCACCCCCGGCTGAAGTGACCAAAAACTTTTCCGGGCTCTGGGGCCTGGCAGAAGGGTCCTGGAGGGTGGGGGGAACATTCCCCCTCCGTCCCTGCCCGCTGCGGCTTTTTCCCTCCCCAGGCCGAATATTAAAAAGAAATCGGAGCCCATTTTCCTGCGAGAAATTTGGCAGAATGGAGAGAAAACGATCCGGCCCTGGAGGGGAGCCAGGCCCGGCCGCACACCGGGAGCAGCTGCCCGCTGGAGCCCGGCCCCGCTCCGGGGCT